CCAATTGCATATGCAGGAAATTTTCTGTGAAGATTCCTGCACTGACGCCTGTCGGATATAATCCAACGCCCTTCGTGGTATTAGCCAGGGGAGTAGTTGTTTTCTGATTGGCGTCAGTCCATTCAACCTACTGTGTAGGTATATTCGAGACTGGCTTGAACGTTCAAAGTTCATTTCTTTAGATACATAGAGAGTTTGTTGAAAAAATTTGGAAGTAACTGGAAAAAGTTCCTGGATTCACGAGAGAACGTTTATAGATTGTCAGCAGTTAGACAAAACAAACGAAGAGATGCTGTGGTTATTCCAACCTCAGATAAGAAAAATAATTTGGGTCAAGTTACAGACAAGTTGGAAAAACTCCTACTCGGTGATCGAGAATATAAACGATATGCCTAAGTCAGCCTGTCAGATATTTGTCAAAGAGAGTGTCAACCTCTAAAAATTGTGTTGAAAATTTCATCAAAAATTATTTTTCCAGTAATAACAACAAATAGAATGTCCAAGGTAATTAAATTATCACCATCCCAACGAGGAGCCGAAAAACTCTGCCAACTGATGGGTTACCAATTTGGCAAAACCATTGGGAACGGCACCTATAGCAAAGTCTGTGTCGCCATAGACAGCAGGGGCAAGAAAAAAGCTTGCAAAATCATTAACAAAAAATACGCAGGAGACGATTTCATAGAAAAGTTCTTACCAAGAGAACTGCGGATCATAAGCAACATCAAACATCAAAACATAGTTACTGTCCACAAGATCATACAGTTGAAGTATGAAGTGTACATTTTCATGGATTACTGTAAACACGGGGACTTACTGGAATACATCAAGCTCAAAGGGCCCTTCACTGAAGAAAAAGCTAAGGTTTTGTTCAAGCAGATCGTAGAAGCTGTCGATTATCTGCACGACCTAGACATTGCTCACAGAGACATCAAGTGCGAGAATGTATTTTTGAAGGGTAATTCCTGGACTTTAGTGGACTNGGTGGATAAGTTTGAGTAAGTCTTACATAATCAAACTTACGTTGAGTGACTGATTTATCAGTTATCTTCAGCGGTTCTTGAGCAAATATTATTCTTGAGAGTTATGCTAGTTTGTCCGTTTGTGTTCGAAACTCAGTTTTTACTGTGAATGAATCACAACATTATTCTTCTTTGTTGAACGTGGTTGAGAATGTTTCGTGGTGCATTTCATTATCTCGGACTTCCATTGTCTAATATGATATATATTGATTTGAAATCTCTGAAAGAATCTGTAAAAGATTAGCTGAAAAAAAAATTAAGCAAGAAAACTGAAAATAAAATGAAATAAAATACAAGCAACAACCAAAAAATAAAAAACGAAAGGAACGAATTCTTAACGTAAGATAAGGGACTACCAATGGGATCGCCACTTTCACCGGTTATAACCAATAATAATAATGACTTTATTCACATTACAATGAAAATGATCAAATTCACATCAATATATAAAATAGACAAAAAAAAATGGATGAGAGAATCTTCCAAAGAAAGGAAGGATTTATCAATTTGAAAATAAGTAACTCTATACATGGATGTGTAGATCATGCAAATAATAATATATTTAGGGGATACCTGCAGAAGGGCTTGATTGTACAAGGCACTAAGGAATGAAAACTTCATATCAGCCCATCCGAATCGACTAGTGGGGGTCTGAAAAGTCTCCGACCTAACAATATAGTCTCCTTTAAACTATTCTTCCATCCCAGTAACCCCTCAAATAGTACTGGGCGTTTTTCTCTGCAAAATAATTGTTCACGAAGGTTATTGCCTCTTCACTTAACGAATTTCTCTATCCACTGAGTGCAATTTTTAGATGAGGAAACAAAAAGAAGTCGCTTAGGGCTAAATCTGGTAAAATGGATGGTTAAGCAGTTCAAACCGTAGTTCAATTATTTTTGCCATGGCAACCGCTGAGGTGTAAGACGGTGTATTGTCTTGCTGGAACAGGATTTTCTCTTTCTGCAAATGTGGCTGTTTTTTCGCATATTCTGTCTTTAGCGTGTCAAGTAATGATGCTTAGTTGGAGCGTTGGAAATGTTCATTTGAAGACGTTTCTGGTCTAACGTGAGCAAACGCGGCACCCAACGCACAGACAGCTTTATCATGCTTAATTATTGATTTAACTGTGGAACGTTCTTTTGACATGTTTATTACCTCAGCTATATTTCTTACTTTAATTCGGCGGTGGTCTAGCACCATTTGGTGAACTATGGCGATGTTTTCGTCGGTGGTTGCAATTTTTGGACGTCCTGATCTTTCATTGTCTCCCAAGCTCTTGCGGCCCCGTTCAAATTCAGCTACCCCAAATGTCACTGTGGTAAATGATGATGTAGAGTCCTCATTCACAGAATCCAACTCATCTTTGATTTGCATAGGCGTATTGCCTTTTCATAGAAACACTCACATCAGTTCACTCAAACGTCTGTTACTTAACAACTGCGCGTCCAAAATGGCAGAAACTTTGGTGAGTAAGTGTCAACAGATGAACAACGGAATTCTTCAGCTTTTATTTACGACTATCTTCATATTGAATTCGGAAACTTACCATCCACCAAAAGGATCAAGTTAGAGAAACTAGGACTACAACAACTCAAAAGTGGAGAGATTGAACTGTCAAAGGTGGTTGAATATCTGTGAGTTAAATTGATCCCAGATTGACCTGGAACAAACATTCAGGCAGGATAAAAAGACAGGTGGAGGTCAATTGGCCAGACTGACCTACCAAAACACATGGGGACTGAAACCAGATATTATTCAATTTTCAACTGTGAAAACACAAGCGTTTCTTTGGTTTGGTGGTAGAATATCATACAAATGACTAATAATAAACTTGTAATGAGGAGCAGGCAAGAGTGGGCTAAGTAAACCTGGAAAAATCAACGAGCTACAAGAAATCGATGTATCAACTGGTGTATCTTCAAGGGTCTATAAACTTAAGATGAAAAATAATGAATCATTGCGAAGAATATCTTTTATGCATACGAGACAAAAAACTGCACTGTACAGTTATTAACATGTATCATTAGTGAAAGTCATGTATGGTTCGCTTGATGAAAAATGACAGATGATGGATATCATTCAATAGTATTGCCGGTTAGTTTCTTTGATTCTTTTTTTTAATATCGCTTGAGTCGTTTCAAATGTGTGACGAGATATATTGCGAATTCGTGATGTGTTGAAGAAGAAGCTGTTTCACTCAATTTGGCACTTCTTTAACTAACTTGTGAATAGTTATTTCGTAAACTACACCTTACGATTTGATCTTCACAAACTTTATTTTCAAAAAATATATCACGACATGTTTCGCTAACACAGTAGCATTATACCAGATTTTATAACAAGCTTTTTCAATAAGATTGTATTTTCTTGGGCATTAAAGTATATGTCTATCTACCTATCTATTATTATGATAACCAACAAGAATTTTGGTGAATCTCATTGAATTATTTCAGTCCTTGAGTTCACAATACCTCATTTTGCTACATCATGCTTTGTGAACCTTTCTGAAAGGTTTCCCAACAAATTTTATACGAAAAAGTTACCGAGGCACAGTAAAAACCTGTTTTTTTTTCACCCTGTATTAGAATCAGAGCACCGTACCATTTTCTTGAAATTAGATATTTCAAGGAATATCTATGACATAATTAGCCACAACGAAATTCAATTCAACAGGTAATGTCAAGTAAGCAATATGGTTTGCGAAAGTTGTTCTGAAGATATCAAAATACATCACTATATAAGCTGTTAATTCCCCACATTATATCAGTGTGTGGGTAATCATATCATATCGAACATGGTGTTCAAGGTAAGATACTTTTGACTTTTCTTGGCAAATATAAACGGTTTCAATTATTTTATGATTTTTCAAAATGATTTCAATACCATAGTTTCAAATTATCTGTATAGTTCAAGTAAAGTAGGTTTGCTCTAAAATGTCAATGAAAAAACCCATAATAGGAAGCGTTGTCAAGAACTATTATACTATTCGCATCCACATTTGGGATCAATGTGTTTTCAAACAATTCCTCGAAAATATTAGCTTCCATGTTCTTATGATAGTCAACAATGTAGTCCTTGAGTTTTTTCAACATAATTTCAAAGAATTTGGAACCCATCTTTCACTTCCTTCGCGATGCACAATGAATAGTCGCGATCCTTTGTTTTCAGACATGTTAGACGTACACATTCTCGAACCATCAGTCCACCCTTTCGTAACTGTGTCGTTAGTGTCATACCAAGTTTCTTCCAAATAGAAAATTTGCCGTTGTTCTTGTCTACATTTAGTTTAGTTCTAAGTATTTGTTACTCAATTCCACTCTTCTTCTGCTTTCCATAACTGCTTGACGTTTGTTTATCATTTCAAATCTAAATCCTAGTTTCTTTATCCAGTTCTGAAAAGTTTTGTCACAGCAGCTCACGTTATGCCCGGAAGTATTCAATTTCTTCCTTATGATTTCAGTTGTAGGAATCTCATTGGAATCACTACACTGGAAAAAGTCTGCGTTGTTATCACACTCGTTATTACTATTAGTACTTGTCCAAGGACGCCACATTTTGAACAGATAACAAAAATTCTAAGTGATTATAACTGCACCAATATCGAATTTCAAAACTCAAATTGCGATCAGTTCCTGAACTAAACATGACGGCGTTAACCATCCTCGCATTCTCCGATTTCTATTCGTCACCGTAAGATGACTTCAAATTTAATTTTATGACTCTTCAGCCAATCATAAAACTCGGTTAGTAAAATTATCCAAAACGAACCGCCAAGTATACAGTCCACGTGGACTAGATAGCTGCTAGTTCATTTTTATGTATTGTTTTTTTGGCCTTTGGGTCTGCCGACAACTTTAAGAGCACACACTATCGTTTACTCCGACTATACCTTATATTAATCCTACGACTCATTTTTTATTCATGTTAGGAAACTGTGATTCATCAAATAACTTTCAGTAATTCGTGTGGGTTTCAAAAACAACTTCATCGAAATATGATGGAATCGGCCTTTACTTGATAAAAATTCATAACGTATTCAAGAAATACTTTACATTCAGTGTTTCTTAAAAACTTCATCGAAGCTTCCACTGCTTCTGTGAATCATTGCTGTTTTTGGGTTTATTTGCGAGGACTGTACGTTTTTGGGCTTGATGTTTCGTCTGCAACTGCGGTAAACATCATCAAAGACGAAAATGGTGGAAGTGAACGAACTTGATATGTTAGACACCTGCCTTGAAAGCCTACACACCAGGATTGGTCGTATATTTATACCGACAGTTTAGATACCTTGAGAAGTGGATTGGAACTATTTTTATTATCCCATAGATGGCATCTTCGTGAGAGAAGATGTCATCGTCATCTACCACTTATTAGACGTGTTCTTCAGGGATGTATGTATTGATGAGAAAGTAAGCAAAAACCATAGCAATGTTCCTTTTCATGAGAAATTTCCTAATTTACCGCCCATATCTCAAGTAACAATAAGCAAAATAGAGAAGCAATTTGGCGAGCTTGATCATGTGGGGCAGATAAAAAAGCAGCTGCCAATGCAATGAGTGATGAACTCAAATTAGATGTGATGCTTGACTTTGAAGAAAGCCCACATACGTCGAGTAGACAGGCATACACTACATTCAATGTTAGCCATACATCGATAGTAAACATATTAAAAGAAAATGAAATGCATCCCTATAAAATGATACCTACTCAAGAGCTCATGAAAGACGATTTTGATAGAAGGACTTATTTTTGTGAGCGAATGATGGACATGTTGGATAACAATATCATCCAATTAGAAGACCTTAGGCTTTCTGATGAGTGTACTTTGTCTCTTAACGGTCATGCTGATCGGCAAAATTGCCGCTACTTGTCAAGGGAAAATCCTCACTGGATGAGAGAAGAAAACAAGCAATACCCTCAAAAGGTTAATGTTTGGGTAGGGATTGTAGGAAACCACATCATTGGTTCCTTTTTCGTTGAGGCCAATGGATATAATTATTTGGCCCTATTTCAAAATGATGTCATTCCAAGTTTATCAAATTTATATCCTGACCCAGGAAACCCTTAAGTTCCAGTGAATACGATATAGTTTCAGCAGGATGGAGCATCACCATATTACCAAGTTAATGTCCCCCCAATTGAGGAATTTCAACGAGATAAATAACTCATTACTTGAAATTCCTCAATAGGCTATACAGGGTGTTCCTAAACATCGTGCACATACGAAAGGGGGTAGTTCTTTGGCTTATTTCATAACTAAAAGTTCATATAAACATAGGTCCACAAACGCTTCGTTACCGATTTACAGGGTGTTGAAATTACAAGATTTTTCTTGTTATTTCTTTGGAGCTCCTGCAGTTTTTGAGATATTGACCTCAAATTTGGAATCTAGATTGCGTTATAGGGCATACATTTGTGGGTTTTGTCAGATGGTTGTTGATTCTACAAGGTGATATTTTTTCAGGAGTCATGTTCCATTTTCTCCCCCTGAACTTTTTCACTGTGCGCCGCTGGTAGATTCTAAAATACAAAATGAATTTTCCGTTTTATTTGGAAACTTTTTTTGTTTAGAAACTCTTTTCGTTTCTGCGACCGTTATCGAGAAAAAAATTAAAGATTTTTTGTAGAAATGATTTATTTTACAATACAAAAACCTAAATAATAACAATTAAACTGCATTATAACAAATGTTGAAAGTGACCCCCTCCTACCCTTATACATGCGTCCGCTCTTCTTCTCATTGATGCCCGTACTCTTGCGAAGACTCCCGGAGTATTTCTTACAGTTTCAAATGCATTTATTATCCGATTTCGTAAGTCATCCACGTTATTCACTGGTGTTGTATACACTAGAGATTTGAGATATCCCCATAGGAAAAAATCTAGACTATTTAAATCNACTTCAATCTTTAATTATGCTAAAATTATCAGAATATTGGTCTGTAAACAATATAATATTGAAACTTGGTAAGAACACGGATAATAATAAATTAACAAATTGTAAAAAGGTTGATATTTATTCGGTTGGCGTGGGTTCAAGGCTTAGGGTGGCCACTTTACCCTACCTTCCCTTATGTTAATCAAGTTGTGAACTTGTTCTAGGGTATATATTGGTCAAACTGGCAGAAAATTGAGGAATCGCATCCAAGAACATGTTGAACTTGATAAGTTCAACACATTCAAATCATCTTTTAGAATGAAATCATATCTGTAACCGAGATTTTGAAATTTTACGCAAAGAAAATTAAGGTTTAAAGCCCAATTATTTAAAAGCAATGGAAATTGATGAAATAAAAAATTCAAACATTTACTGAACTACCAACTGCAATTAAATAGATCACCATTATTGTATAGGTAGTAGATAATGAATATCACTGAACTTCTATTCCAACACCAAACCGTTTAAACAGTTTAATCTTCCTCTTGAAGATGATCAATTGGTGATTGAAACACGTGTCGAGGTGTTAAAAATAACGGTTTCGTGTTGTTCATTAGGTGTTTACAAAAACGTGTCATATGTAACATTTATCAACATGTTCGATTGATGACCTATGTATTTTGTAGAAATTCATATTGAATATAGAATTAAAAAAATAACTTGTGTCTAATCTAAATGTACTACCAGTTTTTGGAGTGTCTCTAGTTTTTCTTTCAAGGTTTTCAGTTGTGGGTGTGAATTTCCACACGACGAATTAACACATCCTTTAGAGGTTATGTTACTGCCTGCATCCTGAACTGCCTGTTCGCTATCACTTTCCACAGGTGTTGACAGAAATTTCAGGAGTACATCACTAGTCACTGTTGTAGGAAATCTCTTGTAAGTTATTATTTCGACCAACTCACTCTTTTTAAGTTTGTTAAGTTCAGCTGAAATCAGCACAATATTATTGTCGGCCATGTTTTCTAGGCGTCTTCTCATAAGGCGAACTGTTACATTATTTATGATAGGAAAGGCAATGTAGGTATAAACTACTCAGATTTGAATGTAATCTAGTTAGTTTTGAAAATGGTGCAATGACTGATGAATGGTGCAGGCTTGTAATTGTTAATTGTTAAAACTATTATTCGAATACATTTTTTCTATAGTGCATCAACTTGGCGTTGGCGTTGGTATTGGGAGTCTGTTCTGGAACCAACATCGGGGTATACCCTAGTAGCCAGTTGGGATACAGCAATGGACATTTAGGCTACAACAGTGGACAAACTGGCTACACCAGTGTGCAGCAACATCCAGTTCCAGCGCCCACCGTTGTCAGCGAAGTCCTCCAACCCCAAATAGCCACTGTAAACGTTCCGGTGGTACAGACAAGAGTGGAACCCTACGACCCCAATCCTCAGTACAGCTACGCCTACACCGTCAACGACCAGAGTACAGGGGACTCCAAAAGTCAACACGAAACCCGCCATGGTGACTCAGTTCGTGGACAGTACAGTTTGACAGAGCCCGACGGTTCGAGGAGAACTGTGGATTACGCTGCTGATCCTCACAGTGGATTCAACGCCGTCGTGCATAGAACTGTTGCACACTGATTTTGATGAAGTATCTTTGAAGATGTATCCGTGAGAAATGGTTTGGTTTTACATGACTTTATTCTTGAAATGTTTGTACATTAGAGACTTATGGAATAAATTGATATTTTTTATTTATTTGATTAATTCCGTAGTCCCTTTTATGAAAAGCTGTTTTCAAATATCGAATTGTAAAACCTCAAGGATTCATCATTTCGCAAAATCTCTCTGATGAAATATTCTCTTTTCATTCACTCAATCAGCAAGGTGTACTCATGCAAGGTGCGTATAAAGATAGAAAGAGATACTTTGAGAGAACTTCTCTTGGTGCACTCCTCCCGATCAGAAATCACAAATCTGACATCTGGCTCTTGTAGGCTCTGGAAGTTCTAAAAGAAAAGATAAGAAGATGCAAAGAAAATGATAGATTTCAAAAATAACCCCTAACCACATAAATCTCCGGGACCAGATGGCATTCATCCAGTAAGCTAAAAAGCTAAAAAAAGGTGGGTTCTGCTACAAACACTATTGCGTGTTTGGTCCTGGGATAGGAACCTGAAAGACAGAAATTGATTGAAACCATCTTCATAAGGTGGATCAAATATAAACGAGACTTTTCGACCTTCAGGCACAATAGTGGAGGGAGAACGTTCCTGCTATGTTTGTTGGTGGAGAGATTGATTGCCCAGTTCGGGGAAGAGACACTGTTGCGAGCCAGAAGGTTCGCATGGCATAAACGGTGCGTGGAGGGTCGTGATCGTGTTGAAAATGAAAGCCATAACCACAGACCACGCACCAGCATTACAGCGAACAACATCAACAGTGTTCGACGCCTTATTGAAGATGACAGACATCGTACCACTTCTGAAATTGCAAGTGAGCACTTACTCCATACTCACAGAGGAGCTAAGGTACCGTAAGGTGTGCGCCAGGTGAGTTCCTCGCCTTCCCACAGCTGATCAGAAATTGCATCGTCTTCAGGTGTGTGGGCGTCTTCTTGCACGATTTCAGGAACAAGGAGACCAATTTCTCACTCACAGTGTCACCTGTGATGAAACATGGGTGCACCACTACACCCCAGCGAGTTTGGAGTGGAGAAAACAAGGAGAACCTGGACCAGTGAAAGCCAAGTCACGTTTGTCGGCTGCCAAGGTTTGGGCTACCGTCTTTTTGACCAGCGTGGATTGCTGTATCTCAATTTTTTGCATGAGCGCAGGACAATTAATGCGGCATACTACTGCGACGTTTTGAGTGAGGTCCGAGTGAGGCATATCGTCGCAAAAGATTAGACCTATCGATCAGGGAAGTGGTTCTCCTCCATGACAATGCTCGCCCCCGCACAGCAGCCTTGACTAGGAAAAAATTGAAGTAACTGGGGTGGGAGACATTGGAACACCCTCCTTACAGTCCAGACCTGTGACCCTGTGACTTTCATGTGTTTGGTCCTCTTATGGATGCTTTTGGGAGGCCAAAGATTCGATAGTGATGCTGAGGTTGAAGCCTGCGTGCGCAATTGGCTGCAGACACGACCTGCATCTTTCTACGTGGAAGGAATTGGAAAGCTGGAAAAAATGTGTATTATATAAACTATATTCTTTTTTGCGTTTAAAATAAAAATAAATTAACGAAAACATGGATGAAAAAGGCAGAATATACGTACACAAGACCAAAAGAGTACCAGTAGCACCTTCGGTAATACTCCCTAAAAATTCATCACAAAGACTTCGATGAGAAGAAGAAGAGGGTTAGACGATAAAAGCTGCAGGTGATAGACGGCGGTATAGGAGACCATTATGGGGGAAACAGTAGTGGTATGGATAGCAAGAGGTTGACCTCAAAATGGTCTTATCTTCACTTATATGGAACCTTCTATCTGATGAGTTATTAGGTACGTCTTCTGGAAAGTAAGGTACTGGATTATGTTTGAGTACCCTAGTCCAGAGGAAATGTAATAATATATTGAGGGGATACCCGCAGAAGGGCTTGATTGTACAAGGCACTAAGGAATGAAAACTTCATATCAGCCCATCCGAATCGACTAGTGGGGGTCTGAAAAGTCTTCGACCTAACAAAGATACAAAACATTTTTTTAGTTTTTTTATTTTTTAATATAGTCTCCTTTAAACTATTCTTCCATCCCAGGGACCCCTCCTAATAGTACTGGGCGTTTTTCTCTGCAAAATAATTGTTCACGAAGGTTATTGCCTCTTCACTTAACGAATTTCTCTATCCTCTGGGTGCAATTTTTAGATGAGGAAACAAAAAGAAGTCGCTTAGGGCTAAATCTGGTAAAATTGATGGTCAAGCAGTTCAAACCGTAGTTCAATTATTTTTGCCATGGCAACCGCTGAGGTGTAAGACGGTGTGTTGTCTTGCTGGAACAGGATTTTCCCTTTCTGCAAATGTGGCTGTTTTTTCGCAAATTCTGTCTTTAGCGTGTCAAGTAGTGATGCTTAGTTGGAGCGTTGGAAATGTTCATCTGAAGACGTTTTTGGTCTAACGTGAGCAAACGCGGCACCCAACGCATAGACAGCTTTATCATGCCTAATTATTGATTTAACTGTGGAACGTTCTTTTGAAATGTTCATAACCTCAGCTATATTTCTCACTTTAATTCGGCGGTGGTCTAGCACCATTTGGTGAACTATGGCGATGTTTTCGTCGGTGGTTGCAATTTTTGGACGTCCCGATCTTTCATCGTCTCCCAAGCTCTTGCGGCCCCGTTCAAATTCAGCTGCCCCAAATGTCACTGTGGTAAATGATGATGTAGAGTCCCCATTCACAGAATCCAACTCATCTTTAATTCGCGTAGGCGTATTGCCTCTAAAAAACAACTATTTAACGACAGCTCGATAATCGATTCAGTCCATTTTCATAAAAAAACTCAACACAAACACTTAACAACTGCGCGTCCAAAATGGCTGAAACTTTGGTGAGTAAGTGTCAACTGATGAACAACGGAATTCTTTAGCTTTTATGATGTTCATGTTGAGGTTGGAAACTTTTTCAGAACACCAACATTAAAAGGTTCAAGTTAGAGAAACTGGGACTGCAACAACTGAAAAGTGGAGAGATTCAACTGTTAAAGGTTTGTAGAATATCTAGGAGTTGAATAGATCCCAGATTGACCTAGAAAAACCATTCAGGCAGGATAAAAAGTCAGTCGGATGTCATTGAGGCTGGCCAGGCTCATCAGGCTGGCACATGAGGCTGAAACCAGATATCATGTATAGGCTATTTTCAACTGTGAAAACACAAGTGTTTCTTCGGTTTGTTGGTAGAATATCATACAAACGACTACTAATAATAATCTGATTGATTCGGCCGTTACTTGATGAAGATCCATAGTAATTTCAAAAGTGATTATATTTTTCAAATAAAGTTTGTGGAGATCAAATCGTGGTGATTATAATTTTCAAATAAAGTTTGTCGGGATCAAATCGTGAGGTTTAGTTTTTTAAATTGCTAATAATAAACTTGTAATGATGAGCAGGAAAGTCAAACTGGAAAAATTGACGAGCTACAAGAGATTGACGTATCAACTGGTCTTTGAGGGTCTATAAACTTAAAATGAAAAATAATGAATCATTGCGAAGAATAACTTTTACGAAACAAAAAACTTGCACTGTACAGTTATTAACATGTATCATTAGTGAAAGTCATGGATACTTTGCTCGATGATAAATGACAGCTGATGGATGTCATTCAATATTATTGCTGCTTAGTTTCTTTGATTCTTTTTTTTTAATATCGCTTGAGTTGTTTCAAATGTGTGACGAGATATATTGCGAATTCATGATGTGTCGAAGAAGAAGCTGTTTAACTCAATTTGGCACGTCTTTAACTAACTTGTGGATAGTTATTTCGTAAACTACACCTTACGATTTGATCTTCACAAACTTTATTTTCAAAAAATATATCACGACATGTTTCGCTAACACAGTAGCATTTTCGTAGCGAATGACATATTTTGAACATACAAAATAAAAAGTGGCTCAATTTTTGAATAAACAAGATATTAAAATTGCATATAGAATAGATAATCCGTTGCAAAGCTTGTTAAAAATAATAAAGACAGAACATCCAAATTCGAGAAATCAGGAGTAGGGGAAGGATGGATAAAGTGACCCAGGCAGGTAAAGTGGCCACCTTCTGTTTCTGGACGAACTGATAAGAGCTATCTGTCAACGACATATGGAAATAATTCATTGGTTGACGCCATATTGCCCCCGTAAACACTGGCCGGGTCAGTGCTCGTCTTCAGATTTTATGGTGAAATAATTTTGTTTTGTGGTATCTGATCTAAAGTGAGTGATTTGAACATAAAGCAAATTCAAATCCAAGATGGAGTGGATACCAGATTTTATAACAAGCTTTTTCAATAAGATTGTATTTTCTTGGGCATTAAAGTATATGTCTATCTACCTATCTATTATTATGATAACCAACAAGAATTTTGGTGAATCTCATTGAATTATTTCAGTCCTTGAGTTCACAATACCTCATTTTGCTACATCATGCTTTGTGAACCTTTCTGAAAGGTTTCCCAACAAATTTTATACGAAAAAGTTACCGAGGCACAGTAAAAACCTGTTTTTTTTTCACCCTGTATTAGAATCAGAGCACCGTACCATTTTCTTGAAATTAGATATTTCAAGGAATATCTATGACATAATTAGCCACAACGAAATTCAATTCAACAGGTAATGTCAAGTAAGCAATATGGTTTGCGAAAGTTGTTCTGAAGATATCAAAATACATCACTATATAAGCTGTTAATTCCCCACATTATATCAGTGTGTGGGTAATCATATCATATCGAACATGGTGTTCAAGGTAAGATACTTTTGACTTTTCTTGGCAAATATAAACGGTTTCAATTATTTTATGATTTTTCAAAATGATTTCAATACCATAGTTTCAAATTATCTGTATAGTTCAAGTAAAGTAGGTTTGCTCTAAAATGTTAATGAAAAAACTCATAATAGGAAGCGTTGTCAAGAACTATTACACTATTCGCATCCAAATTTGGGATCAATGTGTTCAAACAATTACTCGAAAATATTAGCTTCTATGTTCTTATGATAGTCAACATTGTAGTCCTTAAAAGTGTTTTCAACATAATTTCAAAGAA